CATTCTTAAAAAGAAGGAACGCACCGGTGAGCTCAGCAACACCAAAAGACCCGGAAGACCACGGAAAACAACTGTGGTGGATGACCAAAGAATTCTTTCCCTGGTGAAGAAAACACCCTTCACAACCATTGGCCAGATCAAGAACACTCTCCGGGAGGTAGGTGTATGTGTGTCAAAGTCAACAATCAAGAGAAGACTTCACCAGAGTGAATACAGAGGGTTCACCACAAGATGTAAACCATTGGTGAGCCTCAAAAACAGGAAGACCAGATTAGAGTTTGCCAAACGACATCTAAAAAAGCCTTCACAGTTCTGGAACAACATCCTATGGACAGATGAGACCAAGATCCACTTGTACCAGAGTGATGGGAAGAGAAGAGTATGGAGAAGGAAAGGAACTGCTCATGATCCTAAGCATACCACCTCATCAGTGAAGCATGGTGGTGGTAGTGTCATGGCGTGGGCATGTATGGCCGCCAATGGAACTGGTTCTCTTGTATTTATTGATGATGTGACTGCTGACAAAAGCAGCAGGATGAATTCTGAAGTGTTTCGGGCAATATTATCTGCTCACATTCAGCTAAATGCTTCACAACTCATTGGACGCCGCTTCACAGTGCAGATGGACAATGACCCAAAGCATACTGCAAAAGCAACCAAAGAGTTTTTTAAGGGAAAGAAGTGGAATGTTATGCAATGGCCAAGTCAATCACCTGACCTGAATCAGATTGAGCATGCATTTCACTTGCTGAAGACAAAACTGAAGGGAAAATGCCCCAAGAACAAGCAGGAACTGAAGACAGTTGCAGTAGAGGCCTGGCAGAGCATCACCAGGGATGAAACCCAGCGTCTGGTGATGTCTGTGTGTTCCAGACTTCAGGCTGTAATTGACTGCAAAGGATTTGCAACCAAGTATTAAAAAGTGAAAGTTTGATTTATGATTATTATTCTGTCCCATTACTTTTGGTCCCTTAACAAGTGGGAGGCACATATGCAAACTGTTGTAATTCCTACACCGTTCACCTGATTTGGATGTAAATTTCCCCAAATGAAAGCTGACAGTCTGCAGTTAAAGCACGTCTTGTTTGTTTCATTTCAAATCCATTGTGGTGGTGTATAGAGCCAAAAATGTTAGAATTGTGTCGATGTCCCAATATTTATGGACCTGACTGTAGGTACATCTAAAGAGGGGGTTGTTAAAATGAACCTGTCACTTTCCTTGGATGGGCAAAGCATAGGTTCACTTTGACGTTACATTCATCTGTCAACATTCAGGTATCACTGCAGATCCCAGTGAAGTACAAATTGTTCAGAAAAAAAACAGATGTATCTCCACTAGTCATTTTCAGGAATACATCTGCCTAAAATTCTTTTAAAGTCTAACTCCAGCCAAAAAATATGTACATTTGGATTTAGATACAGCAGGAAAGGGTTAAAGCCATATCATGATTTTTGCCACCTGGATCCTTGTTGGCAAAATTTCTCTTAAATGATAAGAGAAATCTCTCTAACAGCGACACAATCAAAAACAGATTTTCAGTAAAGTGGTTTACACTTCTGACAATGTTGTTATTGCTGTCTATGCTTCCCTGTCCTGCTGACAACTGCTTCCAGGTTTCTGGTACAGGTGTCACTGCCCGAGACCTGAAAGAAAATCCCCTAAGTGGTCTCATAGACACAAATTAAAAAAAACAAATTACAAAACTTTTAACACTCCCCTACTATTCCAACAATGCCCAGAGGTAGGATTTAAAGGTCTTCTTCTGGCAAGCACCAGTTATTGTAGATAATTGTTCATTAAAAAAAAAAAAAAAGATCAATGACTATTGTTTAAATGCAATTTATGCAAGTTACCTGAATTTGTCTTCAAATCAGCCTCCTGTTATCCTATGCACAACAGCTCTGAAGCTGGGAGGTGGAGGAACACTACTATTAGCCAGTAAGGTTCTCCTGCAGTGCATATGTGCTCACAGTAAACATGCTGATAGGTGGTGAGAACAGCAAGAGCTAAGAATTACATAATCATTGCGGTCGCTCCATCATTGTCCAATCAACAAGCTCAGGTAATACTGTGACCTTGTATTTTGACCAAAAGGACCTGGTTGTGTGGTTTAGGAGGGGTGGATAGGTCAGAAAACTGGATACACATAATTACATTTCCTTTTGGCAGATAATACTGTATATGTGTGGGTATATAGATATATTTATTATTATTATACAGGATTTATATAGCGCCAACAGTTTGCTCAGCACTTTACAATATAACGGGAGACAATACAGCAACAATACAGTTCAATACAAGAGGGAAAAGAGGGCCCTGCTCCTTGGAGCTTACCATCTAGGAGGGAGGGGCTAGTGGTACAAAAAGGTAGTAACTGTGGGGGATGGACTGGTTGGGAGAGTAGAAGATTCCATTATTAGCTGAGGGCAGGATAGGCTTCCTTGAAGAGATAGGTTTTCAGATCGCCTAAAAGTGATAGGTAGGCGATAGTCTGATAAATTGGGGTAGAGAGTTCCAGAGGATGGGGGAAGCTCTGGAGAAGTCCTGGAGATGAGCATGGGAGGAGGAGACAAGGGAGCTAAAGAGCAGGAGGTCTTGCGAGGAGCAGAGAGTACAGTTTGGGTGATATTTAGAGACAAGATCGGTGATGTAATTTGGGGCAGAGTTATAAAATGGCTTTATACGTTATTGTTAATGTTTTGAATTTTATCCGTTGGGCAATGGAAAGCCAGTGGAGGGATTGGCAGAGAGGGGTGGCATATACAGAATGGTTAGCAAGGTGGAGGAGTCTGGCAGCAGCATTCATGATAGACCGAAGAGGGGATAGCATGCGATGAGGTAGGCCATTGAGGAGGAAGTTGCAATAGTCAAGGCGAGATATAACAAGGGATATAACAAGGGAGTGAATAAGTTGCTCAGTGGTTTCCGAGGTTAGGAACGGGCCTATCTTGGAGATGTTGCGGAGGTGAAGTCTACAAGATTTGGACAGTGATTGGATTTGGGGGTGAAAGGACAGACGGGAGTCTAGGATTAAACCTAGTACCCTGGCATGAGGGGAGGGACTGATGATTGTTTATTGATCTTGATGGAGAAGTCAGGGGAGGGGGCACGGGATGAGGGGAATACTAAGAGCTCAGTTTTGGAAATATTTAGTTTGTACCATGGTGACACTGTATTGCTAGGGTGACAGTATGTAAAAAAAAACCCAAAAAAAAACAAATAAAAAATAATAATATAAAAAAAAAAATAAAAATGTAGAAAAAAGTTTAAAAATTATAATTTTTGGTTATAAACTAATTTGGATTTTTTTTTTTTTACTAAAAAGATAACGGAATACATTTTGGCCAAGATTTATGATGAAAAATTATTTATTTGCAAAATGTTTCAAAAAATTTTGAAAAAAAAAGTGTTTCTTTTTCATTTACATAGCAAAAAAAAAAAAAAATCCCAGCGGTGAATAAATACCACCAAAATAAAGCTTTATCTGTCTCAAAAAATGGTAAAAAATTCATTTGGGGTACAGTGCTGCATGACCGCGTAATTGTCAATGTGTGATAGCGGTGAAAGCTGAAAATTGCCCTGGTCAGGAAGGGGGTAAAAGTGTCCGGTCTGAAAGTGGTTAAAAGGTACATGAGGGTGTTTGCTTGCAGTCTGTCCAGCATGCAGCAGAGTTTCTTGCTGTTGTTGTATCTTCCTGCTGCTTGAGTTATCCTGCTTTAGTTAAACTGCTGTGTTTAAATAAATATAGACCTTTAAATAAAGATATATATATATATTTTATTTATTTCAGGTACTTATATAGCGCTGTCAATTTACACAGCACTTTACATATATATTGTACATTCACATCAGTCCCTAACCCTCAAGGGGTGTACAATCTAAGGTCCCTAACTTTCATTCATTCATATTATATATATATATATATATATATATATATATATATATATATATATATATATATATATATATATATATATATATATATATATATATATATATTAGTGTGTATTTAGCCTTTCGCCTGGAGTTCAGCTTTGAAGCTGAATTGAAGGAATTTAGCAAATTTGTAAGAAGTGAATGCACGCCAGGAGTTAAGTCCAACGAGGTGCCTGCCACATCCTGGGCTTATCTCTATTATTTACAATAGAGACATTATTAGAGCTAGAGATATTATGACAGGTATATTGTGATCCAGCAGTGTAGCTTCCACAGCTCTCAGCTGGTCTCATCCCCTTTGTAGAGTCAGTGCAGCTACTATGCCGGCCCCTCCCCTCCTAATGCCCAGTCACAGAAGCCTCTGTATTAAGTAAAATAATTCACAAAATACAAAGGCTTCTGTGAATGGGCAGCGGGGGTTAGGGGCAGGCATAGCTGTTCTGCGTTTCTCTCCTCTCTCACAGACCCTGGGGTGGAATGTATCCTCCATCGGAGCCATAAATCTGTCTGATATAAATAACAGTGATAGGCCCACTATGTGGCAGGAGGCTATTAAGACTTAAATCATGGTGTGCCTGCACTTTTTACAAAGTCACTGAATTTGTGGAATTCAGCTTTAAACTGACCAAAAAAATAATACAGGGTCGTCAGATCTGCTCACACAACTGCGAACACGTCTTTTTTTTTTTTTTTTCTCAAAAAGATCAGACATACATGTTTATAGGAAAAGGATTGGTGGGGAGATCTGGAAAATGCTACTGTCTGTGATAAAATTGCAGATAATGTAAAAAAACGTTTTTCCAGCCAGAGGCACCTGCAGTGGTCTGCTAATAAAAACACACATCAGGATTGTCACATAGAATTTTCCGGATGGGATGACAATCGGATAACAATCTATAGAACAGGAAGCCTGCTGTGCAGGGAATGTTTACTAAAGATAGACAGCAAGGTATTTTGCTGGAAGGTTTTCTTCGTACACTTCATCACATATTTATACTGCACTTATATTCATTAGATTGATGCTAAATGAAAATACCAAACAAAAGAAAACCAAAAAAAGTACCTGATTTGTGAAGGTCATTTAGATATGGTGCCATAGCTGTATGCACAAAGTCTGGAGTGAATCCTAAATTCTGAAAAGGGAGAAGAAAACAAGATTTTTCATGAGTGTTGTAAATTAGAACAGTAAGAAAAACATATAAAAATGATCATTCAGTACTATTTACAGTGCAATAAGTGAAACTGATCGCTAAAACAATCACCTGAAAATCACTCTTAGCTGCTCTACTTTCTTCTCTCCCAGCCTCGTCAGAGATGGATGATGCCTTTTTTTCAGGAGCTGCTGGTACCAGCTCCAAATTCTTCATGCCTTGCCTAGGCTGGTTTAAAATGCCTAGTATATGACCAGTATTGGAGTATCATATATATATCAAATATATTCATCATACAGAAGGCAGAGCTGAGAAGTATAATACTTTAATTAGCACATTGGTAGTTTTTCAATATTTCTTGAAGATGTACTGTCCATCCTGAGTCTTAGAAAAATATCTCTGGTCCACTTCCTATATAACCTAAATAGTATATATTAAGGGGGATATGCTCAACATGTATAAATACATCAGTGGTTCATATAGTGAACTCGGTGTAGAGCTATTCACCCTGAGGTCATCACAGAGGACAAGGGGGCACTCTTTACATCTGGAGGAAAAGAAATTTAAATCTCCAAACATGGAAAGGTTTCTTCACAGTAACAGCTGTGAAAATGTGGAATAGACTCCCTCAAGAGTTGGTTCTGGCCAGCTCAGTGGATTGCTTTAAAAAAAAAAGGCCTGGATTCTTTCCTAGATACACAGAATATAACTGGATCAGGGGCGGACTGACCATTTGAAAACTCAGGCACTGCCCGAGGGCCCGGGGTCAGCAGGGGGCCCCATGACATGCCCCTGGTACCTTTTTCATAGGCTTTTTTGAGTTTGGGCAAGGACACAGGGGCCCCATGATCCCCTATTGACCGGGGGCCCCATGAGTTGTCATTCGCCCCTGAACCGGATACTAACATTTACAGGTAAAGTTGATCGAGGGAATATCCGATTGCCTCTCGGGGGATCAGGAAGGCTTTTTTTTCCCTGAAGGAGCAAATTGAATCATGCTTTGCCAGGTTTTTTTTTTTGCCTTCCTCTGGATCAACAGTGGGTATATAATTATAACTTTTTTTTTTTTTTTTTAATGGTTGCACTGGATGGACTTTTGCCTTTTTTCAGCCAGACTAACTATGTAACAATGTAACTATATTATCCATAATCTTATACTAGTTTATACTAAATCATACCAATGTTTTAAAATAATTAACAAAACATTTTGTCTATTTCAGAACATCCTTTATAGATACTACACAGATTCAGGAACGATAATAAATCAATGATTTAAAAAAAAAAAAAAAAAATCTTATTAAAATACGGTTTTTTTAATTTAAATCGGATTTGCATTGAATAAAATGCTGCAACTTTTGAGGAAAATAATTACCATCCAACAGTATATTACTGCATAAACACAAAAATTCGTTTTTTAATTATGTAGAATCAGAACGCTTTATGTTTAATTTTTTTGGTAAATAAATTCCATGAATCCATTCACAATGTCATGCTCTTCCACAGGTTTTTGTAAGATTATTGGGCAGTTTCTCTGCCTACAAGATATTATCACAGATGCTTGGTTTACTTTTGCAGTTCTCAAACTGAATTTGACTCAGCGGAGATCACATGCCTCTTCTTCACAGCAAAAATGTTATAACATGAAAAGAGTTAAGAAAAAAAACCTTAATCCTAACTTCTACAAACCTTGAATACAGAATCAACCCCTGTTGTGTGCTAACCATTAAGAATTTCAGTGAATAGAATTCAAACAATATTTTTCTGATTGTTTGGAGTGGAATAGATCTGCACAAGATTGAAAGTGAAACTAAGTGTGAGGAGGAAGGGGCTGACAGTCTAAGTTTCTTAAAATTATATATCAGTGGGAGCCAAATTAGTTACCAAACATGGATGTTTGTATTAAGCAAATAACATGATGCTGTAATGTTATTGTTTCAGTTGAATAAATATTATTTAAATTGTTGATTATTAAGGTAAGCCTGGGCTCGCTTTCCCCTCTCCCAAGTACAACAGAAGCAACCTGTCTGCAAATATGAATGATTAATCTGCACGCTACATTACCTGTCAACTGGGGATAAAAAAAATCTAATATGAAAAGTTGTTATTCTAAAAATCTTCATCTACTTGCATATTAAAGTTATACCAGCAAGAATTAGTCTATGTAGAAAACTAGGATTTAAATCAAGCCTTACTGACTAGTGATTTAAATTGTGTTTCTCCATTTTGATTTAAATCAAATCCAATGACACAGATTCAGAAACGGACATGTTGAATCTTATAGAGCTACAGCATACACTCAGGGCCTTCAGCAATCTTCCCGTGCACACATCGTGGGCCAGGGAAATCTATATAGATACTGCATGTTGCAGTAATCCTACATACAGTATAGAGGACGGTGTCATAAACACAAAAGTAATCATCGGAATATAGACTCAGAACCTTTCCAGATGGTATATAGCTACTACATAAACATACAACCTTTGCAGCAGTCCTGCATTCAAACCCCCAAGATTCAGAAACTTTGAGAATTCTGCATAGATACTACATGGATTCAGAGCTCATGACCCTGACCTGCAGATGGACACCACAGGATACCATTAAACATGGCTTTGCCCATAGAATATGTTGCACTTCATCCCAATTAGTGAACTGCTGCATGTGCAATCACTTTTCTCTTTACCCCTCATGCACACTGACATTTTTACAGCGGCTGTTTTTGGCTTTTGATGTTTTTTTCTACAGCTAGTAAACCCCCAGCATGTTATCCTATGTGTCCATGCACACACAGACTGTAATCAACGTTTTTTGGATGGGACGTTTTTGGCTGGAAAAAAAAACCCAGCACTAGTAGATTTCTAGAGATTTTTAGCTGTAAAAACGCTCTAACACAGAAAAACACGGTAAAATGTGCAAACCGGCATTTTTGGATGTTTTTTTAACCACAAATAATTGAGGGGATAAAAAAACCCACTAAAAATCAGAAACGTGGAAAACCTCCACTAATCGTGACAAAACACAGCTAAACACTAATGCAAAAACGCTAAAAAAAAAGGGTGAAAAACTCACGTTTTTAACGTGACTTTACACATCTAACGTTACCAGCGTTATCAAAACACCCAGTGTGCATGAGGACTTAATAAAAATCCAAAGGCACGCTAGCCATCAGCACATGTTTATACTTTGTTTGCTTGCGTCTCCAAATTGCTGTTTTCTGAAAACCAATTTCTATGTGGTGTGATGAGATCCATATTCCATTAAAGTTTACTTACCCTGGCTACATGTGGAAAGATGTCTCACTAAGAGCAATGGCAAATGTGATAGCTATTCTTCATCACTTCTGGAACACTGGGATCCCTCCTCTCCCTAACACGGCTAATGTCTGGATGCAGCAGAGGCTGGATCCCCTTTCTACATAGGTAACTAGTAATCTCAAACCAGTAATGATTAGAATTTCCAGATCACTCCCAACCAAATTATAACGGTATTTTATCTAAAGATAGTTTGGCTGAAAAAATATTAATATAACATTTTAGAAGCCGGATAAAGCATTGTGATTACAAAATCAGAACCATGGGTTTACTTACAGGTGACTTGGCTTTTGCAGCAGACAATAAAGACATAGTAATTTCAGAGAGGTAGTCAAACACCAAGAAATCTAATTTTCCTCCATAAAGAAGCTGTGGAACTGAAAGACAATACAAAGACGTATTTGTGCTAATATCATATAAAAAAAAAAAAAAAAAAAAAACTTAAAGTGTTACTAAATCCACAACAGTAAAATCAGTCTGTGTATGCAATAAAGCATGCTTGTTATACTCACTGTGGAACCTAAGGGGTTAATCCATCACATTGTGTAAAATGGCTGTTTGATCATTGTCTTCTCTACTCCTCCCCTTCATCTACTGCCCCTAATCTATCTGCGAATAGTACAGAGACCTAGGAGTCACTCTGCGCATACTCAATTTGGTGTGTACTGCTAGAGTTTTTTTTCTTTGGAAGAGTACATGTGATCAGCACAGGGCCAGTCAGCGCTGTTCAGAGAGAGGGTCAGGGGTTATGCAACCTCATAGGACAGACAGAGCAGAAAGAAAACTCTTACAAGCTTTAACCAGTGCTCAGCTGGACACTGACAGAAGTCACAAGACTGCTCTAACTGCTCACGAGAAAAGTTATTTAGCAGTTTATATTTACTAAAATAATTGCATTTCCATGTTCTGTGTACTGTGGGAGACCAGATATAGTGAATGCAGGGTCCTGGGTTTAGTAACACTTTAATATTCAGAAATATGCCATGTTTTTTCACCACCATCCCATTGAATGAACAATCAACAGAGTTCTGCAGTAACAGTAAGCAATCACTGCATCAGATGGAAATAAAAAATAAAAAAGATTAACTGCAGACAGAAATGTTTAACACTTTAGAGTTCATTCATTCCAAATGCCAGCATAAATGAATATTTTGGCCAATGAAATGAATAAAGGCCCATGAGTTTGACATGTGCGGCTTAGGTGCGTTTTTGGAACTGCCTTTCATCTGCCAGAAGAAAAGCATTTAGAAGAGCTGAGCAAACGCCCCGAGTGCATGGGGCCTAAATGTGACTTAAAAAAAAAAAAAAAAAAAAAATCAGCTCAAACATTTTATTCTAGCTTTTGGAAAAACGAAAATAAAACCTGGCAGAGGTTCTATCCCTTTTCTACTCTATTCAAAATAAAATAAAAACAAACATACAGAGTTTGGTTGAATTACAGAGTCATCTGTCACTCTGGGGACAACATACATCAACCAGGATCACAAATGAGAACTGAGGGAGCCATTACCTGAAGCTGCTGTATCCCCCCAGAATCCGGAAGCACATCCAATTCTCACAGAGGGCCGTTTCTGAGAAGGAGGGCAGTCTTGTACCACAGAACTTGATGAAACTTGCCTCATACAAGTGCAACATAATGTACTTTTAAGTAGCCTGGCTTCAGGTCGCTGGGCTTGTATAAATCTCCTTCCTAGAAGAAAAATTGTCCACCCCATGCCTGAGGCTTGGCACTTGAAAAGTCAGTTGCAGTGATGTATCAATTCTCCCTCAGGTATCTTGGGTTGCCTCTATGATTCCTGAAAGATACAAAATAGGTTGGTAAAGTGGAACTTAAGACTCAGCACAAATAAAATAATGCAGCATGGAATACCTTCTGCATTCGAACTGCGCATGAATTGAATCACAAATCCATTTACAAAATGTGAATTTTCCTGTTCTGCATTCTCTCCACCTTCCATGTGAAATCCGTTACTTCTGTCTTTGTACACCTATCTTAAACCTATACTCTAGCTGCGGCTGGATGTTTGAAATCGAATGCATGACTCTGCGATTTAAAACTACAATTCCACTGACTCTTGCGCAATTTCATATTTGTAAACATAAAAACTTCTACGCTGCCACTAAAAAAATCAAGGTGAGGAAAATTATATATATGTGCTAGAGACTACCGCCAACACCTAACTGTGTACCACACCACAGTAACAAAAGTGAAAAAAATAACATTGGTGTAGCCCAATCCTGATAAAAAATTAAATAGGTAATTGATACCACAACCCAGTGCTGTACATCATAAATACATATTAATGTAATAATACACATAAGCTGTACCTTGTACAGTAAATACAACCTGATTAATATAACAGTGCCAGTAAATTACAATTTGTGATCTGCATTAATGTATAAGTGCAAAAAACATCCTAGTGAGAGCGTGAGATCAAAATCATAAGTGATTCACACTTAATAAATGCCCATAGGTGCATAAATTACTGGCAGTGGTGGGGGGTTGGGACCCATGGCATTACACGAAAATGGAATTTAAATTTACAATGGCAATCCGATTAAGTGCTAATATGAGTGACAGTAGTTATTGGGGGATAGACAAACAATTTCTTGGGCCCCCCATGCAATTTCGCTGATCAGGCAATCAATTGCAATTGATGCTGGAGGTTACAGCATATCATTATCGCCCACTGACCACTAAAGGTTACAGCATGCATTACAGCTCACTAATTAGCTAGAGGCTACTGCACATCATTACACTGCTCACCATTGGTTGCTAGAGGTTCCTGCACATTATTTCCACTCACTGATTGGTTGTTAGAGGTTACTGCACATCATTATGGCTCATTCACTGGTTGCTAATTTCTGCACTTACCACCAATAGGTTACTGTACATCCTTACCAATCACTGATTGGTTGCTAGAGGTCACAGTACCTAATGTATGTCTCACTGATTTTCCTGAAGTTACAACACATAATCTCCTCACTGCCTGCACACATGGACTGAGAGGGGGGGAATTTAGACAAAAAACTCCTAGGACTCCTGGGATCAATGGCAGTGCTGGGACAGAGGGGTGATCAGTGGCGGTGCTAGGGGAGGGTTGATGGGATTACTGGCAGTGGTGGGGGGTTGGGATCCTGGCAGTGGTGGGGTAGGATGAAAACAGAGTGGCCAGTGCTAGTGGGGCATGGGATGAGTGACAGATGATGATGGGGGGACAATGATCAATGGCAGTCCTTGGGGTGGATGGAATCAGTGGCAGTGCTGGATAGGGATGGAGTTTGACATTTCTACACCGACCACCAATGTTAGGGGGGGATTAAAACTGATGACCCCTCCTGTAAGGGGATTTACACTGGCGGTCCACCAGTGTAAGGGCAAATTCTGCACTTACCACCAATGTAAAGGGAAATTTACAATTTAAACTAGCCACCAATGTAATGGTGAATGTACACTAGCCACCAATGTAATGAAGAATTTACACTGACAACCAATGTACTGGGGGATTTTCCACCAACAACCTCATTTAGACTGGCCAACAATGTAAGGGGGAATTTACACTGACCTCCACAAGGGGGGGGGGCAATTAGATGTGACTGCTGACATGTCTTCTGTACATAGCAACAGGACAGAGCTGGCCAGCATAAGAGTCAGCACTTCACACTGAGATATTAGACACAGCTCGGACAATGACTTCAAGGGAATGTAAAGCAATACAGTTGGCAACCTCAGTAGGGCAGTTGCTTTGGGGCCCAAAAATGACTGGATACGGGCAGCTGCTTCTTTTGCCCCTCCTTAAAGACAGCCTTGGCGGTACCAGTTGTGTCACCAGGGAACACGTGCTCCTCCATAGTGTAAAATATAAAATTTTGCTGCTCACCTCAAATAAAGACCCATATTCACATATATGTAGGTAAAATATGGCTCCTCAATGTGAGTGTCGCTAGCAGACTTTTCCCTCTTACTGCACTTCTCATTTAGATGAGCAAGGATAATCCTATATGCAGATCATTGGAAACTCCACAAGGAAGATAGTAAAGAGAAGGTACCCATAGTGTAGTAGTAGTATAGATAAGGTTTACTAGATAAAGTATCACACTTACATAGGCGCTAAAATCATTAGTAGCTTATCTGCATTCCAACACTGCGATTCAGTGGATACCTAGTAGGTTAGTGTGTAAAACCATACGGTTTGAATGCTATTTTACACATTAAACAAAAAAAAAAAAAAACACTTTAATATATTTGAATGCACACAAACACATTAAAATACCCACTTTTTTGTTAAAATATAAAACACTGGTGTTGGGCTGAATGACAAATAGACACCAAACATGTATACAGTGAAAATTGATGCGACACTTGTGAAATGGTGCCAAACTTCCAGAATTTAAAAATGGTCATATGTGTCACTGTTGACAAATGTTTGCGACACTGTTACCAGTTTAGAAATGTTGATAGAGGAGGTATACTGGTGACTAATGTTGATCTTACATTTGGCATACTCACATGTGTAGTGCAATCGCCGCTTACTGGTATACATACGGGACAAATGTTTGAATGCGACACTGGTAAACTTTGACAAATGTTGATGGGACACTGGTACACTGTGACAAATGTTGATGCGACACTGTACACTGTGACAAATGTTGATGCGACACGGCGGACACCATGACAGATGTTGATGCGCACTGGTATACTGTGACAGATGTTGATGCGACACTGGTATACTGTGACAGATGTTGATGCGACACTGGTATACTGTGACAGATGTTGATGTGACACTGGTATACTGTGACAGATGTTGATGTGTCACTGGTATACTGTGACAAATGTTGACTGGACACTAGTACACTGTGACAGAGGTTTGTGTGCACTGGTACAGATGTTGATGTGACACTTGGACAGGGACAGGGGACAGATGGTGCTTGGTGTACTGTGTGGGTATGGCTGCAATATGTGTGTTCTTTACATATGTGAACACGAAAATCATCAGCTATGCAGAGAGCTGTCAAAAGCTGCAGCATCTCCCTCTCCCCCTCACTGAGCTCAGTGGGGAAAACAGCTACAGAGACATGTGTCTTTGTTTACATACAGTGATGGCTGTGATTAAACACAGCAATCACGTGATCAGGTGGGCCAATCAAAGAGACCATATCCTGATCTGTGATGTGCTGTGTCTGAGGGACATAGACATAACAGGATTGTGCTGCTGTGCGACCCTGAGGCCGCGCGAGGAGCACATTCTGAGGGGGCGTTTAGGAATGTCCACTCGGAATGAGAAAGTGCACATAAATGGCCAGGGGGGAAGCAGTTAAAAAAAGCACCATTTACATCTGGGTAAACCAGTGATGTAAGGTCATCGCTTCCAGGTTCCCTATATCACAGATGTGAATATAGCCATTCTGTTCTTTGTTCACCTCTATGATTAGCTGGCTGAAACATTGGCTGGGCAATCTGGTGCCCCAATGGGACAGGACAGCCCATTAAAGCTATGGAAGGTAGCAGAAGGGGGGAGGATGTCCCCTCCTGCTGCTTGTAAAAGCAATCCAGTGGCTAGTTAGTCAATTGGATTGCTTTTGCAAGAGAGCTGGCTGTCGGCTCTAAAAACCGGTACCAGGATGATGCCTACAGCTGCTGGCATTATCCCGGTATAACCCACTTTAAGTTCAGTGACGTACAGGTACGTCGCTGGTGGTCAAGTGGTTAATGCATATTTCTTAAGGGGCCTGGGGACAGCTGTGGAGTAATATTTCTCTGGAGGAGGCTAAGGGTCTCACCAAGAGGTTGGAGGTTTTGCAAGGGCACTGTGGGAGACTGGAGGGCACTTCAGGGACTAGGGGGCACTGTGGGAAGTTGAAAGGCACTCTGGGACACTGTTAGATTGGGGCATAATGGAGGGCTGGAAGCTCTGCATCAGGCTAGGGCCACTTCAGGGGGCTTGGTGACAATTTGGAAGGCTGGATGGCACTCTGGGGCTAAGAGCTCTCAAGGAACCTGGGGACACAAGGGGGATATGGGTCACTGTGGGCAATCATGGAAGGTTAGGGGCACTAGGGGAACTGAGAGGCAGTATGGTAGGTTACATGATCTGCAACTGGCTGCAGGCCTGACAGGAGACGTGTCCATTTACACCCACCTACATCTAATCCGATCTGATAAAAACAGACAAATGGGGATCCGTTCCCCTTCAGTCTAGCGGATTGGATGGCAGTCGGGTATAAATGGACAGGCAGTCCGTTTACATCTGAGCACGTATAGAGGAGATCGGGCTGTTTCTGTGTCTGTTCTGCATAAGCGGAGCGGACATGGACCAGCCATCCATCTGCTCGGCGGGTATCAGTGGACGGATCCCCAACTGAGAAGATGGACTCCTAGAAGAGTCATACTTACCTGTCCACATCCCACAAGGAATCCTTCACTAGATCACTTGTCAAAAACCTCTATGTTCAGCACACCATTTATTCTAATGGGCTTCGGATATCTTTGTGGATTGTGGACAGTTGAGTATAAGGGCTCATTGCCACAAGCAGCTGCTAGCGGGATGTAGAAACTTTTGCCAGTGGAGGAACTGGCCCTATGAGCATATTGTGTGTGAACAGCGACAACCAGCCGCAGTGTGGCAACATTTTCACCCTAAACACATTAATGGCTGGTGACACTGCTGTTTGCATGTAATCATTTATATCAGTGTTTTATATGAATGGGGCTCCTGACCATACCTGAATGCAGTTTGCATCCTGAACAGAGGGTTCTGGCCGCACAAAAAGTGGACACATCTAAACACTGAACTCTAGCCGCCTGCCTGATTGAGCCCTGAATCTGGGAGTGGAACCCTGCATATACAGTAACTGTAGAGTCCCTGCATATACAGTAACTGTAGAGTCGGAGATTGAACATAACGAGTCTTAAAGTAGAGTTTTTGTGTTTAATAACAGTCAGCAGCTACAAAAATTGTAGCTGCTGACTTTTAATAGACACACACTCACCTGTCCCAGGGTCCAGTGATGTGCTCAACCTCGCTGTCCCTTCTCTCCCTGGCGCTGGCATCTCAAGTGTGGGCAGCAGGCTTCAACAGCTTCACAACTGGGTGCCCACTGCACATGCGCAAGAAGCGCTGCGCATCGTGACTGATCCGACAGTTTTCTGGGACCTGTGAAGTGTCCCAGAAGACTGCGGGAGGAAGGAGGGGGGCCGAACGTCTGGCTCACTTCGCTGTGGCAAGAGGCAAGGGAAGGGGAGTCAAAATCAGGTATCTGCTCCCCTCTCCTCCGCCCCAAAAAAGTGCCAAATATGGCAAGGGGGGAGGAGGCAAAGAAGCGGAGCTATAATAGTAAGGATCGTATGCGCTGCCAAAAGAGTGAATAAACTAAACTAAAAAGCAGCAAACACCAAAAGCGTGTTCCACCACTACATAAAAGAATAATAGAATAAATAGTGCTGCGCTAGAACTAACCACGAATTCACTGCGCAGAGAAATTATATGAATGGCAACAACAAAGAAATTAAATAAATATAAATAAACATCCACCTGAACCCTACTCTATCCATGAGTGATAACCAATCAGGGCATCAATAAATATCTTATCCTTTTAAAGGAAAAAAAAAAAAATGTATGATGACACACAAATGATAGCGACACAAAACAAATGTGTGTAATAAACACCCGGCTGAACCGCTGACATGCGGCATAAAAAACTACAAATAGAACATTAAACAAGGCAAAATAATGATAATAAACCATAAAGATAAATGGTAATATAAATAGTGACTGTAAAGTGAAATTGGCAACATTCTATTAAACAAGCAGAGCTTCCACTTTCGCTTTAAGGATTGCCAAAATTAAAAAAATACACTCATTGGAATCTGAATGTGATGTACACCAGAAATGATAAAGACAGGACAGATATCTTTGCTAACAAAGATGAGGCTGTATTCACTCTGAATACCCAATCATGTGTGGGGAAAATAAAAAAAAAAAAAAAAAAAAAAAAAAAAAAAACAGGATTTTGCTTGCACATGATTGCTATAGGCCCGTTCACACCAGGGGCGTTGAGACTATCCCAATGTAAGACAAGAGAAAACGCCTTTCTGCATGCTAGTTCACACCAGCATTCAAAAGCATTAAGACATGCAGTACTTTTTTTCAGCACCCCATGGTGTGAAACTATCTACCCCATTGCACCAAGCTGCGATAAATAGAACTTAATGAAATGTCACAAAGTGACATTTCAATAATGTTCAAGCAAAAAAGTAAACGGTGTGCTGTTTACAGGAAATCAGCACCACAGCCTTGATATCACACCCCAGCAGCTGTGTTCATTATTTCAGGTACTTATATAGTGCCATCAATTTACACAGCGCTTTACATATACTGTATATTATATATTCACATCAGTCCCTAGCCCTCCAAGGAGCGTACAATCTAAGGTCCCTAACTCACATTCATACATACACATACTAGGGCCAAATTAGACAGGAGCCGATTAACCTACCAGCATGTCTTTGGAGGGTAGGAGGAAACCAGAGTACCCGGAGGAAACCCGCACAGGCATGGGGAGGACATGCAAGCTCCAGGCAGGTGGTGTTGTAGTTGGGATTCAAACTAATGACCCTAGTACTGCTATGGGCCCGAAGCTAAGTGAACGTCCACTTTGCAAAGCAAACATGCACTACTCTTTTAGTAAATCAATGCCATTCTGACTCTGATGGGTGAAGGAGAAAGGAAAAAGAATTCTACAGAAATTAACTTAATGCACATAACTGCCATATATTTTGCTTCTAAGTGAACTCCATAAGACTTCAGCTAAGCCCTGTGCTCGTTAATGTAATCTATAATGTGACATCTGTCAATTCCAATGTTTCTGATAAGGAATGAGCAAAGGTCCACTTTCTCTAGCAGGTTTGCTGAACAAACTGCTATACATATGTGATATCTTATGCATGCTCAGCAGGAGATTGTAGTATATGACCTCAGTGACGACATTAATATATGTACATACATGGAAACTTTTATGATATACAGTATATCTACAACGTACTGATAACACTAATGTATGGCGAACTGTAGATATAATCATTTCTAGCAAGGATCGCCTGAGACCTGAAAATGAAAGTTTTTGTTGCCCAAGCATTTCATATTCCTGATATTAGCCTGCTGTACCAAGTACTTATGTAATAAAAAGTATCCTGTTCTCTTTCTGTGTCTTCCTTTGTGTGAAATACCTGTTGATCTTGCCAGCCCCCCTGCCAAACTGATCATGTAGGCCACAAGTGACAAACACAAGGCCCGCGGGCTGAATCCGACCCTCCTGGCCATTTCATGTGGCCCTTGCACCTCTCCTGCAGGTACCCCCTTGTCTCCGCTCCCACCTTGTCTCAGCAGTCGGCAGTAGAGAGGGGAATAGAACTCTTCTGCCAAATCCTCAGTGCAGCTGCAGCACCCCCTCATCTTTGCCTCCCCTGGTCTCAACATTCAGCAGATTCTGATAACTGACTCCACTACTCCTCTGGTCCTCCTCCAGACCCTGCACTTTCTGCTTTCCAGCTCTGCCCCCAAAGGAGGTGCACGCTTATGTTAGGGAGGGTGTGGGACACCCTGATGTAATGGGGGTGAGGTGCTCTGGACATCTAGTCTTACAGATAAAACCGGCCATTTGAGGCAACCATAAACCTGAGCACAGTACGGTGATGAGACGTCCAGCCGCAGGAAGACATTCGAATGGTGTAAACCTTTCAAAGATGGCTGATGCTGCTTTATTAAGGAAAACTACTTGTTTAGCTTTTTACATTTTAGAATGGGGCACCATGACATTGTGCATCAATTTAACCACTAGCCTACAGGGCACTTATACCCCCTCCCTGCCCAGGCCAATTTCCAGCTTTCAGCGCTGTCACACTTTGAATGACAATTGCGCGGTCATGCAACACTGTACCCATATGAAATTTTTATCATTTTTTTGTGACAGAGCTTTATTTTGGTGGTATGCAATCACCTCTGGGTTTTTTATTTTTTCTTAAACAAACCAAAAACCACTGAAAATGTTGAAAAAAACAAAAAAAAAAAAACGTTTTTCTTGGTTTTTGTTATAAAATTTTGTAAATAAGTGATTTTTCTCCTTCACTGATGTGCACTAAAGAGGCTGCACTGATGGGCACTGATAAGCTGAACACTGATAGGTGGCACTGATGGGCACTAATGAGGAGGCACTGGTAGGTGGGACTGATAGGCATTGACAGGCATCACTGATGGGCACTGAAAGGCAGCACTCATATATGGCACTGATAGGTGGCACTGACAGGCGGCACTGATGCACACTGACAGGCGGAGCTGACTGGCACTGATAGGCGGCACTGACTGGCAGCTCAGATGGGCACTGATATGTAGCACTGAAATGTGGCACTGATGGGCACTGGCAGGTGGCATGGATGAGCACTGAGAGCTGGCACTGATGGACACTGACAGGTGGCGCTGCTGGGGCTACACAGATCATCAGGGCACACTGATCATCAGTGCTCTGATGATCAGTGTACATGTCCCCTCCGAGGAATGCCGATTACTGGCTCTCCTCTCCTCAGTCAGCGTGACAGCTTGTGGGGAGAGAAGTGCCGATAACCAGCATTTTCCTGTTTACATGTGATCAGCTGTGATTGGACACAGCTGATCACATGACCGAGCCAACCTCTTTGGCTCTTTCCGTGGATCAGTGATCCGCTGTGTCCGAGGGATACAGCACACTGCCGATCGCCACGCTGTGCGCTCCGGGAGCCACGCATGCGCGATTAGAATGGTAGGACGTCATATGATGTCCTCCCAGAACAAGAGAACCGCCTTGCGTCCGTCATATTACTATATGGTGGGCGGGAGGCGGTTAAAGGGTGCCTTGACTATAAAAGGTTGAGAAACACTGATGTAGAGATACTGGTCCCAAATGACAGCCATCTCATTGGATGGATCTGACAGTGATCTATTGTGATACCCATACACATGAGATGACAGCTACCTCATTGGATGTTTTTTGGATGATCTGATGGTGACCTATTGTCCACTGGTGCCTTAAAGTAGTTGTAAACCCTTACATATACCCAGTGAAGTGACTGGCCTCAGGTGATACACAGATGAAACGAAACCTCCTATGTAAGTTGTATCTGTTTATCTGCAGCCCTCATCACCTGATCCATTCAAAGTGCTGAATTTATACAGCTTGTCTGAGCTGTCAAAAAACAGTGGGGTGAGCACTGAACATATACACTGCGGAGCTCAGTGAGGAGAGTTCTGAGAGCTGATTGGAAGTAAGGGACACACCCCCTTCACCCAGGAAAACAGCTGATGCTGTCAGGGTGTTTTTGCAGGCACTTTAGGGGCATCAGGCTTTTTTTTCTACTGCTTCCAAACGGTCCTCCTTATTATCCTATGCGTCCATGCACACATAGACTTTTAGAAGCAGGAAAAAAAAACACTGCCAATGCATCCAGGAGCAGCAGAGTTTGGGCAGAAAAAAAATGATTGACGCTACTAAAAGCTGCTGGAAGTGTCTAAACGCGAGACGGGTTTAGTACTCTAGTATTCATTTATTTCAATGGCCAGAATAAATAATTATTCTGGCCAATTAAATGTATTAATGCCAAATAGCTTAATGCCTGTAAAAGCTCCTAAATGCTTGTAAAAGTTTTAGACACTTTTAAAAGCGTCAGGCATTTTTTCAGCAAAAACGCTGCTGGCTTCTAGAAGAGTTAAATAAACGTCATGCATGAGGCCTTAATCACAGGCTGTGTGTTGGAGCTCCCTCCTCTGTCACCATTTTTCTCTTGGTGTGAGGAAAACTTGTCAGAAGTGACTCATGATGACAGCAGAGGAATGGGGCAGCTGACAGAAATGGCACTTAAAAGGTTGATTTACTAAGGGCACATAGACTGAGCAATTAACACTGCACATCGCATGTGATTCACACATGAAGTACACTGTATTCCTGTGCAAATAACATGCGATTTCTGTGCGGTGCAATTTGAGCCATATATTTTTGCTCAAATCACACCACTTCCGCACCAAAATCAGGACCCTGCACCAGAATCGATTGCATGTGTGTTCACAGCCATGCAATCTGATTCTGCACATTGCTCCGCGTTTTGCAAACCAATTTCAGGGTGTTGTTAACATACACACCCGCAGCAGTTTCGCATCAATGGAGTGCGGTTTTGATGCGGTGCGGGAATTGCACAGAAACCTGTGTGAATTCTGCAATGCATCCGTGTGAAGCAGCACTCAATGAGCAGAAGCTCTGCTGACTTCCATCATCCAATCATCTGCAATTAAAAATGCTTTTTTTATTTTCCTTGCATGTGATTGGGTATTCATTGCAAAAGTGAAGCTTAACCTTATTTACTAAGCTCTGCAGCAACTGCAAAGTGCACAGTCTATTTGCCTTTAGTAAATCAACCCCCCCCCCCCAGTGCTCTGGATTGGGACAAGCACACATCATAGAGGGATATGCTTTTTTCATGTTTCATGTTTGAGATTTGCAACCTCTTTAAGGCTCCATGGACACTTTTTTTTTTTAAGAACAAAAATGCTGGGAATAGCATTTTTTAGTAGCGTTTTAGTAGCATTCAGAAGCGTTTAGGAGCACTAGCATTTTATTAGCGTTTTTACAGTACATGTAGACAAAAAAAAGAGCTATCAAAAAAGCTGTTAGGAGCTTTTTAGTAGCGTTTAACATTTTTTCTGCTGGAAAAACAGTCCAAAAAATCTACAAAAACTATTTTTTTTCTGCTCCTAGACACAGAAGCTCAAAAAATGCTAATAGCCTAAAAGATATGCTGAGAACAGCTTCTAGGAGCCTTAGGCTCCATGCACACTAGTGTTTTTTGTTAGCTCCTAGAAGCTGTTGTTAGCATGGTTTGTTCTGCTCCTAGAAGCTAAATGTGTATCCAATGTGTCCAAGCACACTACTTTAGGCTATTAGCATTTTTTTGAGCTTCAGCGTCTAGAAGCAGAAAAAGAAATAAAAATAATGATGACTGCTATAGCTGGCACTCGTCTTCTGGATTGGTAAACTTTATTGAATGAGTAAATTGTGCATATAAAATGGCTTACGCATTTCGGCAATAAGCCCTCATCATAGCCATAAAGTAAAAGTCAGGACATTATATTTCTATATACCAAATCAATCAATCAATAAAGTTTACTATTCAGGAAAACAAGTCCTGGCTATACCAATTCTAATGATTCTGTTGCATCTATGCTGGGAGGACACACAGAGCACACTCATTGTGGAACCTAAGGGGTTAATCCTCTGCATTGGTAAAAAGGCTGTTTGATCCTGTCTTCTCTCTTCCTCCCCTTCTTCCAGTGCCCCCCTCTTATCTCCTGCTAAGACATATCATGTGGAGCCACTCTGCACATGCTCAGTTTGGTGTGTATTGCTGGAGATCCTATCTTTTCTGCTCCTCCCCTTCTTCCAGTGTCCCCCTCATATCTCCTGCAAATACATATTATGTGGAGTCACTCTGCACATGCTCAGTTTGGTGTGTATTGCTAGAAAGGGTTTTTTTTTTTTTGTCTTGGGAGAGTGCATGTGATCAGCACAGGGCCAATCAGCACTCTCCAGACAGAGGTCAGGGGTTCTGCTTCCTCCTAGAACAGAATGAAAACTCTTCCTACAAGCTGTAACCAGTGCTCGGCTGGACACTGATAGAAGTCACAAGACTGCTCTAACTGATGATGAGAAAAGGTATTTAGTAGTTTATATTTACTAAAAATCATTGCATTTCCATGTTCTGTGAACTGTGTGAGACCAGATATAGTGAATGCAGGGCCCTGGGTTTAGTATCACTTTAATTGTTCTATCATGTCAGGGGGAACAGTAAAAGATGATATAATGATCTGATCTTCCATTCCTAGCTGCAGAAATACTGGTCTACACCCCCACGCTCTAGGGTTATAATATCATCAAGACCAGAGCAGGGTCCACAGGCCTTGCTCAGGACTAGGGGACGCCAAGTGACGCTAGGTTGCGGGGGGAGCACCTCCTATTGGGGGATAAGGTAAGTAAAACTGCTTCTCCCCTCCCCCGGGCACAAGGTGCTATTGACCCTTGCAGTGCAGGCACAGCCCCCCGTAGAGGGATCTTTTTCTTTTCTCTGCCTGGAGTTGGGCTTTAAGATTGTGAATAGTTGTCACCATGGGGGTGGCTGGGTAGAATGCTTACAACAGAGATCAGCCAATCCCTGCAGGATCCCCACCATCTCCAATGTATGGGCAGCTCCAGAATAGAGGAGGAGACTCTTTGTATTACATAACACAGAGCCTCTATTATGCAACACAGCTCCCTACCATTCCCTACAATGACAGGCTCACATTATATATGGAGCCCATATCACACGCCGGGGGAAGGGGGCTCAGTGTGGTCACAAATGGAACAATCAGAGGTGTACACACGGTGACGCTCCGACACACAATCTCTGTGCGACTCTCCAGCACACTGAACTCGGGGGACACCGAGCTCTCCCCACCCCCTCCCCATCACCGACCAGCCGGACACACAGCACCGCACAAAGTTTACTTACTTACTCTGCAGAGGCTGCAGCCTGTACGGAAGAACATGACACTGGCCCCCGGCCCGCACATTAACACGGGGGGAGGACCAAGACAGCATCAGCAGAAAAACATACAACAATGCAAATCCAGACACCTAGTTTTAAACAGGCTTGCCTTTTAAATGTCTAATATGCATTCATCGTGTCATTATATCTCGGAACACATTACAGATTATTTCCACATTCTGCATTGGTTTTGTTATATCCCCCCCACTGAGACAATGGAATCGTCCAAAGAGAAAAATACAACCAGGGCGGCCCTGCGAATAGTCACAAATTTGACCACTAGATGTCAGTGGAGTGCCGTGTATCACCAGGAGGAAATGAGAAGTTTACCTTTTAGCAAAAAATAATAAATGCACATTTTTTTGACAGGTAAAAAATTAATAAAAATGCAAATTTTTTTTAGCAGGTAAAAAAATAATAAATGTGCATTTTTTTTGGCAGGTAAAAATAATAAATGCAACTGTTAAAAAAATAAACACTTTTTTTTGGCAGTTAAAAAAATAATTAATGTACATTTTTTTGGCAGGTAAAAAATGTATTATTTTTTGTTTCTAGAGCCTGTAAAGCATAGCACCAGCGATCAGCAGATTGATGGTGCCATGCAGGTTTCCTGCAAACCTGTCAGTGTATCTGTGTGCCCGTATGCCTTGTACAGGCAAGCAGATACTTACTGACAGGAAGACTCAATGAACTACCACGCGCTGTGGTAGTTCATGGAGAACCAAAAGCCGACAGCCACAAAGGCTGCCAGAACTTGTGGTGTTCTCATTCACATGATGATAATGTTCTCATAATGAGTGATGGGGCCAGGTGGGCGGAGCTCCGCACAGCTGCATTTGTTTTAAATTGTGACAGCTAGGAGGAGGGAGATCCCCTACCAGCTGTCACAACGGGGATCAAGGGTGCGGAGTACCCTGAATATGAGTGTAAAATGTTACGAAAAGCAAACCTATCCTTTAAAGGATAAGTTCACTTTTTAGAATAAAAATTCAAATTTTTTGGCAGGTAAAAAAAACGTGCATTTACAATTTTTTTTTTGCACCTGTAAAGTATTGCATCCATGATCAGGAGATCGCTGGTGCCATGCATGTCTCCTGCAGACAGTCAGTGTAATCTGTGTGCTTGTAACT